CCTGTCCAGGCCAGTCACTTTGTTGAGGTAGAACCTGTAGGGGTCATTCAGAAGAGGAATACTGGACTCAAAGAAGTCCTCTCGCTCGTCGATGTAGTAGAGGCGGCCGTAGGGGCTCGTGGGTCGCTCGTTCTCCACCTTCACTTTCTTTGTTTTGGGGCTCGGAGGCGCCCTCTTTGGGGAGTTACCGAGACTCTTCCCCTTCACGTCTCCATCATCATCCTCACTATCCGAGAGAGCCCAGCCTGAGCCGTCTGACACCTCATTTTTCCTCTTTCCAGCTAACGACGGACTACTTTCGTACTTCACTGTATTTACCTGGTTGGCTGCTGCTGACTGTCTCGCCTCGGAACCGATCACAAGTGAGGATACAGGGGCGTTAGCTGGTTCTGGTTTCTCCTCCACAGGGGCTGCTTCTATTTTGGGGATGGTGGGAGTGGGAGAGGCAGCCGGTTGGTAGCTGGGACTAGACACAGCGGGCTGGTGGGGTTTGGATGTGGTCGTTCCAGAGAGAGGAAGATCATCATCTTCATCACTGCTGGAGACGGTCCACTTGCCATGGTGGCTGTCCTGAGACATGCCTGAGTGGATATACAGAGATCAAACAGCCACAATATGATAGTGTACAACAGCATTTGAAAAGACAGGCACATCTTTACCCTATTTTTTCTTGCTTTGAGACCCCCCCCCCTCCCCGACCAACCTGTTATGAGTGTTATGCCATACATAGCATAAACACATAAAACGTGCAGATCAGATAGGCTTTGATTCCATTCCACTTAACTGTCCAATTTGGTGGTGATCTGTGGCACCATATTCTCATTTAAGAATCTAAATGAGATTATTTTAAATGGCAGTGGATGTTTGCAGTTGCAACAATCTGCATCTAGCCAAATTTGAATATTGCTTTAATTGGCTTAATGCAAAGTGAAAAACATTGGAAAAAACTGGGACTATATATAAATGGGTGAACATATGAACGAGATGCATGTGTTCCATAGACTGTAAACAACATAAAATAATGCTTAGACAAAAATGTGCACAATGTGAATTGTATGCAAACATACAGCGCTCATAAGATGTTATAATAACGATTGACAAAGTTAACAACATGTTGCAAGCAAAACTAAGCATGCATGTTCTGCAAGATGAGATGATACAATGCGTTTATGATTAGCGTAAATAACAACGACTGAGCGTGATAATAGGCTTACCCAGAGAGTAAGGGAGCCGCAGCACAGGTGAGAGATGGTGTGAATGCAGAAACTCTTATCAATCCATCGCCAACGAAAGCAAACAACAGTACAGGAGGTGCGCACGGAACAAGTGTCCGGGCGGAAATCAAACGCATTGTCCTGCCTTTTCCTGTAGTTCCGCCACAACCGCGGAGTACAAATACAAACAAAACGAGCAGACTACACGTTTAGAAAATATTCACGGATTCGAATTTGACAGATCAATAACTCAAACAAAAAATGTTCTTGAAACACGAACGAGGTCCAAAACAAGTCAAAATGCGTCGTCCACTGAGTGTGAAGTTAAGTCAGGTTGGTGAATATGTTTGTTAAATAGAACATGTTTTGGCCACTGGTGTTTTTATAATCGCATTTTTGAAAATGCAGCGCGTTTCCCTAATGGAAATGTTTTTGGCCCTTGTAGCGCCTTTGCACCTGTAGGCCAATGTAATGAGGTCCAACTCGTGCTTTAAATTATGAAGTTTCACTTGAATGCGGTCACACTTTGAACTTTACTGCTTCTTTCTGGTTAACCACATCATTACAGCGTCTTTATGGCAAACACATGAGTGTGAAGTGAGTGAGCTGCATTCTTGTTGTAGTGACGGATTTGTGAGGAGAAACTAACTCCTGGGGCCTCATGTATAACGCCGTGCGTAGGATTGCCAAGGCACACAGG